AATAAAAAATAGAAAAACTAAAATATTTTAAATTATTTAATATAATAATATTTTTTAGCTTCCATTGGTCAAGTATTTATTATTTTTATAGAATACAAAATTAAAATTAAAATTAAAATTAAAATTAAAATTTTGTATGGTTAATATAATCTCTAATTATGTGCATATTCAAATAAACTTATAGAGATAATTTACATAATTACATTGATTTATTCTTAATTGTATTTCATCTATATTATAATTTTCACAATACAAATAATAACTAAGATAATTACATTTGGAAAGCAAATTTCAAATTTTGTATGTGTAAATTTAAACTCTAATTGAACACATTTTTTATATGATTATATAATATATAGCTATTTTATTTTTCAAAAGTATATTTTTTATATGATTATATAATATATAGCTATTTTATTTTTTAAATGTTGTGCTTTTTTTTAAATTTTTTTTTATAATAAAGTATGGTGTTGCATTAATTGTAACATTAATTATTTTCCAAACCATATAGCTTTATTATATAAGGGATTAAACCTCATTATCACTCATAAATTCTATTAAATACTTATTTACTACCCCCATTGACTCACCCAATGGATACTTCTTATCTTATCTTCCTTCTTCTCCTCCCAAGATACTTCTAATCTTATCTTATTACTATAAAAGAAGGGAGGAGCAAAAGGAAAAGGGACCATCTTCACTCTTCCTCACATTAGGAGAAGACTCTATCACTCTTCCACATTATTCTTCTTCACATGAGATCACTCTTCCTCACCACTCTTCGACTCTTATGAATGGTGCACTCCATCACTCTTCCTCACACAAGAAGGCTCCATCTTCATTTTTCCATTCTCTCAACAAGAAGATTCTCTTTCTATGTACAACTATATCTTTATTCCTACACAAACATGTAAAAATTAAACAATCACTCGTGACAAAATAAAAGTAAATTATGTCCAGCGAGACTAGCTCCGTTAGTATAACCAATCACCTTAGAGTCTTGCTTCAGCGGCGGTGTAGGAATTTGAATCCCACTAAGAACCTGGGCAGTCATTAAAGACCTTGACTAATCAGAGGAGATGAAGACCCTTTGTGAGTAGAGTGTACATATAGGGGTGTGGTGGCTCAAAATTTACCTCCTCCAATGACTCTTGATAGAGGTTCTAGGAATTTAGGATTAGTTTAGCATAATATGATATATTCAATGTATTAAAGTAAAATAAAATAAAATATACTTAATTACATTTTTTGTCATAGATTTATAGGCCAGTGGACTGTCAACTTTTAGTCTTTTAATTTTTTATTAGAACATCCTTATTTGGTCCTAGACTCCTAGTATTATTGTGGCATGACCATTTTTAGTTTTTCATCAACAAAATCGTTGAAATGTCGTTAAATATAAAGACATTTCAATCTTTTTATACAAAATAAGTTGAACCACTATATATATATATATATATATATATATATATATATATATATATATATATATATATATATTTTAAATCCATAATTAAAGACCGAAATGCCATTATATTTAACGATATTTAAACTGTTTTGTTGATAAATGACAAAAAATGGTTATGCCACAATAATACTATGATCAGAAGTGAATATTCTGATTAAAAAAAAAAGAGAGAGAGAGAGACTTAAAGTAAACAATTGTTATGTCGTGGAACCGTGTCCATCTTGCAAGGTGGACATGGTTCTATGTTCATAATTACTAAACTATATGTTCATAATTATAAAACTCTATGTTCATAATTTTTGAACTTCATATTCACAATTATTGAACTCTATATTCACAATTACTGAACTCTATGTTCATAATTATAGAACTCTATATTCATAATTTTTGAACTCTATATTTACAATTATGATAGTTTTAGAACCGTGTCCACCTTACAGGAGTAAGAGCATAATTTGCCTAAAGTAAACTGTCACCAATAAATTTAGGACAAAAATGAAATTAACTCAATAAAATAAAATAAAAGTGTTATAAAAAAAATAAAATAAAAGTGAATTATGGAGTGAAAGTCAATAGTTATGCTGTGCAACCGAATGTACCATGCGCATGGTACATACGATGCAAAACGACGTCGTTTTGACTAAAAACGCGCGTCTCACTTTAAAAAAAAAAAATTTAAGTTCGATTCTCGGCAATAGCATTATTGTGGATATATAGTTATAAATTTGTGGATATATAGTTATGAATTTATGGATATTTAGTTCATTCATTGTGGATATTTAGTTCATCCATTGTAGATATTTACTTCATTCATTCACTGTGGATATATAGTTATGAATTTATGGATATATAGTTCATTCATTGTGGATATTTAGTTCATTCATTGTAGATATTTACTTCATTCATTCACTGTGGATATATAGTTATGAATTTATGGATATTTAGTTCATTCATTGTGGATATTTAGTTCATTCATTGTGGATTTTTACTTCATTCATTCATTCATTGTGGATTTTTACTTCATTCATTCACTGTGGATATATAGTTATGAATTTGTAGATATATAGTTATGAATTTCTGGATATATAATTATAAATTTCTGGATATATAAAAATGCTATTGCCGGAAATCGAACCTGATTTCTTCTTTAAGTGGGACGCGCGTTTTTTTAACCAAAACGGCACCGGTTAGCATAGCATAATTTGCGAGTGAAAGTGGTGTGGGCCGTGGAAGCAAGAATGCGACAGATTAGCCCAAACATGACACGAAATGCAAATTCTGAGTTTCTACTTTTATTAGTCTACACTTTGATGCTTTTGGTCAAATATCATTCTTCTGCTCCCTACATTCAAATCAAACGGTCCAAAATACTCATTCGTCCTTTTTGAAACTAAACTTAGAAAAACAAAGAAAATGAAAAAGTATTACTCGATGCTCAATAATCCAAAAAAAAAAAAAAAAAAAAAAATTCCACCATGACCATACTAGTTGAGTAGTTGTGTTAGACCCTACATACTTAAAGTCAGTATTTTAACATTAATGAGTGTAAGTCCTCAAGAATATTTGTTGAAGTTTATAAGTTTTTACGAGTTGTAATTTTTAAATTTAATATATTAATACAATGTTTATTGTCATTTTTTTTCAAATTGAATGAACCACTTTTCTTTTTTTTTTTTTTTTTAAAAGGATTTTCTGTTTATTGTTTAACAATTATTGTCTATTTCTTAAAATGCAAAAATTAAAGAGAATATAATTTATTAAATTGCATATTTTTTTTGGACGGAGAAAATAGAAATGTTGTCTTACGCTAAGAATGGGGTTGGAATAAGTACTTCCATAATTGGTAATGGGATGGATATGTGCAATGTGCTTCCTTTATTGCAATTGATAACACAAAAAGGTCCAAAATTGCTATCATTGCAGCATCAATTCGGTCTTGGAATGACCTTCAAGATTAGACGGAAGCATCGCCAATAAAGTCCCCAAATTGACAGGAACGTTAACTCCGTTAAAGTGTAGCTATTAGTATCAACTATCACGATATAGTCTTATAGCTTGCATTTGTATATTTAATGATTTATAAAGATGTTTTACATAGAGATTATGGGTCCTATAGAGAGAAGGGACTCGGGTGGCCGCTAGCTAAGCCTGACTGCTTTACTTGGAGTACTTGAGGCGACGCGGTGCGTAGGCCGTATAGTACGATGATCTTATGACAGAGTCCGGTCTTTCTCTCCTAGCACAAAGGGCGTGCTAGATTTTGGATGGAGGAGAATGTCAAGCACAATTAGCTAGCTTGCTATAAATGGGTAGGGACAATAATAGTGTCAAGGCTAGTTTTGCCATAAACATTAAGATCTGGGCGAGTTAGGTACGCCCACCCAATTAAGTTCGAGAAACTTGTTGCTAGTTTTGGAAGCAATTCAAATGGCACAATTGGTTAGGAGCTATTTTCATTTCCTTGATGGCTGATGAGCCCATGGCAAGGCAAATCTAATTAGACAATGTGTAAGGATAAGGCTAGTCCGCATGATAAAAGAGACCCTGAGGGCCTGGGACTCCGCACGAGCATTGGGTACTGAGCTGAACTCTAAGGCCATCTCCAAAACTGCAAATATTAGCACCATCCCACCATCGCAGCAAAACAGACTTCTCCAACGTGCATCATCTCAGCGGCAAAACGCCAAAAATTTTGGCGTTCATGACAGTGCCGCGCCATATATTTAATTCCCGATTTGCCCTTGCTTTAATTTGTTAATTCCTTTTGCTTTATTTTGTTTTTTATGGATGGAATAGAGAAATGTAAAGGTTTTAAAGTAATTTTAAAGGTGAGACACATAGTACAGGATAATTTGACACCCCAGTATTGACTATTGAGAGAAGAAAGACCGAAAGAGGGAAAGAAAATAACATTTGGATGGTAGTGAAAATGATAATTAAGCCAAACCCAACTCCCAACACCACACCAACGGGCAATCCAAATTCTTGCAAACATCCACTGTGCAATGCCTTCTTCCCATGGACTTTAGCAAATAAAACCTTTAAATTAGCTGTAAAATATTTGTTTCCATAAAAGCAATTCTAATCTCGACAACAACGTAGTACTATTTTGGATAAGAAAATCCGATCGATTTGCCCCCTTTTACTCCATAATCAATACTACTGTGATTACGTACTGTCAACGTACGTTCTCACTTCTCACCATCTCAGAATCAAAAATATATTTTAATCTGGGCATGCTTATTGCCAATCCCAAGAGTTCATCAATATATGAGTATGAATGAATTAAACTATTAAAGTCTATATAGTACAGTTGAACCAGAAAATCCAGAAATGAATTATGGATGAATTTAATGCAGGCAGGCAGCGGAATCTCTCATTCTCTCCCCAGTTCTACCTAATCCTCTACCAAAATATTGACTTAATCCACTTTTCCCACTTGAGTTGTTCAACATCTTAAACCGAATTCAATCCGCGTTTCAAAGTCTTAACGGAGAAGCTAAATAAAGATGGGAAAATGGGATTTGGAGGATAATGATAATGGAACTAATTTGTTTCTTAAATTTTTATCTCCTTAACGTTACGATTACATGCGTGTAATCCGTTTCCGCTAGGCAGTTCACTTCCGAGAAATAAATAAAAATCAAAATCCGGAAATATGGAAGCGGAAAATTTGAAAACGAAAAAGGAAAATCAATCCTCGCCTCCAGTTAGGTTAGTCTTCGAAACCGGTTTTCTTCCAAATCGCGTTGCGGACTCTACTCAGGTCTCTGCCTTTGAGGGTGCGCCCGATGCCCTCGTGCACCGAGAAGGAGGCGATTCGAGTCCTCGCCAACTGCTGCGCCACGAACTCGTGCGGCGGGACCCGATCGCCACCGTCGCCGCCGCCGTCCTCCTCCTCGTCGTCGAAATCATCGTCGCAGTCCCTCCGCCGGTTCTCCCTGTACTCGTCCTTCAGTATCTTCGACCAGTCCGGCACGTTCACCGGCAGGGACCCCGGCGCCGCTCCGACCACGCGCGTGCCGCTCACGGCCGACGGTTTCCTCGCGCGAGAACTCGGAATCGCCTTCCGGCGCTCCGGAGAGGCGGAGTGAGCCGCGTTCCACACCTCCGACTCCTCAAATTCAAACACGGAGTCGCCACCGATCGGCGCCTCGCGGTCAGTCGACAGGAACCGGTAGTTATTCCTCGGGAAATAGCTCCTCGATGCAGCCATTGCAGAATCACACGCCAATCGATTCTTATAAACAGAGATAAATAGAGATTGAGATCATATACTTTTACACGAATAAACGCTGTTCTTCTTCCTACAGATACAATGAATTCTCTAACCCTCTCTCTGAACCCCTATATCTGTAGCCTACCATACTAACTATGCCTGAGCCTTGAGGTGTGATCTGCTTTTATAGATCTTTCAATGGATAAGTTTCCTTTCTCTCTCTTCCCCAATATACATTTGTCATTTCTCACTCTTATCTGTGCAAAAAACTTCGACTAGACGAAATCACTATTGTATCCCTCAAATATTAGCAGTCATTTCATACAGGGCCCACTTTCATTTACCCAATAGCGGATCTGGACCGTCAATTTTTGTTTCCTTTAATTTTGTCAAACAAGCCAATCTCAATCAACTTAGTTTCACAATTAGTTGATAGACACAAAATTTTAAGTTTGACTCTTATGTATGTACTAGTTTTTTATACGCATTGCGCGATTGGAATAATGCCCAATGCTCTTTTTAAAATAAGTACTTTAAAGTATATTATCCAATGCTTTTTTTTAAAATAAGTACTTTAAAGTATATTAAGGCAAGATTATATTGAAATTGTTCATGCATAGATAATTGAATGTTGAATTTGCGTATTTAAATAGGTAATTCTTCTCCCAAAGGTTGAGTCCCCAACCCCAAGGGCCCCCCCACACTCCGACCCGACAGAGCATTGTGGGAAGTTGTAAATCACGGTGACTCAATGGTTCAGCAGACATGGCCAAATGCTGGTACGCACAAGGAATCTGCCCACTTTGGACATAACTCACGCATTGCCGCCGCCGAGGTTCAAACCTCGGTCTCTTCTCCCAAATACTACCCACTAAACCATTGAGCTAAGTCTGTGCAGGTTAAATAGGTAATTCTAAGTTTACAAATGCAAGATAATATAGTCAATATTGATTATAATTATCAATAAAATAATTGTATAGGTATGGTTGAAACCAAATACGGGACATAAGGGAGAACAAATAAAAATTAGGGCATAAAATATGAAATATATACTAATATTGTTTGAGGAGATTCCGACATTAGGATTTGTGGTTAAGTTCTATTAAGACTTTAATATTAGAATTAGATTAATGGTGTAGTTATAATTCTATATTAGACTTTAATATTAGAATTAGACTAACGGTGAATTAACGGAAAAGTTAAATGGATAATCATATAATTAAGGATAAATTAGAAAATCTTAAAAGAAAAAAATTAAAACCTGAACAATATGAACCATTCATTTGATTTAATAATTTGGCGGTCATTTTTTCTACCCAATGTTAACAATTAAATAAATTCGCTGGTCAAATCCGCTAACGTTAACTGCTAACTGCTGATTGTCAAACAAGGACATTGCGAGGTAGTTCTCACTTCAATTTGTTGTGTGATTTGAATACTCTCTTTGTCACAAAATCTCTCAAGTAGTTAATATGGTTGGCTTTATTATTTATATATTTTTTTAATTTTTTCATGGTATTAATAAAATACTTGGTAAATAAATATATAGCATTATTTTATGTTATAACTTTGATATTTAATTAGAAAAATAGTGCACAAAAAAAATAATAGATAATGTAGTGAATATAATCTATTAATGAATTTGAATGTAAAAATTTTTACATTTGAGAAAAATAAAGACAATATAACTAATGAAAATATTTCTTTTAATTAATTTATTGATAATTAATAATTTGTTTTTCACTGAATAAAGACATTGTAAGGACAATGTATCGAATATAATCAATTAATAAATTTGAATATAAAGAATTTTTATATTGAAGAAAAATAAAGACAATATAACTAATAAAATTATTTATCTTATTTAATTTATTAATAATGAATAATTTTTTTTTTGAATAAAGACATTGTGAACACATAATTCTAAATTAAAGAAATGCATATGTATTATTTTTTGTTGTAACTACTAAATTATTATTTATATAATTTAATAAGAGTAAAATAGAGTACTAATTATGCCAACTTTGATTGGGATGAGGTTCGAACCTAAGACCCTGTTTTTTTTTTTTTATTGAAATCAATGAGTAAGTTAACGATGAACTAACGGCAATTCTTAAAATTTTAACGGAATTAGTAATGGTGTGTGGGTATTTTAGGAAATTTTAGTGTGAAATTTAAATCTGATCAATCTTTTAATCAATCTGAGCCATTTATTTGATTAAAATCTGTGACCGCCATTTTTTCTACCCATTATAGGCCTAACTCTCTTGGGCTCTTATTAGTATAGTAGATATATATAAAAAAAATATTATATAGACTCTTTTTTCTTACTTCAAACTTCTATCATCTCACACAAATTTTTGACGTAGACATTTTTCATGAACCCACATAATTTTTTTTTGAATGCTACTAGCTCTATTACAGGCTCGAACTCACAATCTTCCAAATGGAAGTCCAACCCGGATACCATTAGACCACATAGTCCTGGTCATGAACCCACATAATTAAAAATATCATATCATTATTTGTCACATTATAAAATAAAAGTGAGGGAGTAGAATTTGTACTACATGTAATATAACTCATATATATGTGTGTGTGGGGGTGGGGGAGGGGGCAGAGGGGGTTCGATTTCCATGATAACAATGCCCCAAGTAAAAATTTGAGGACAAAAATTCATAAATATTACAAACCCTTCATTTTTTTTTTCATGATTTCCTATTCATCAATTTTGTAAATTAATGATTTAGATTTGTCAACAGATTCTCACCTAATGAGTCCTTCTAACATGAGAACACATTTGAATCGTCCATCAAAGAGATTTTAATGGATCATATTTTTCTTTATTTTTGATATCATTATTTCTATAATTTATTTACGTTGGTGAAATTGTAATTGTACGTGTGTGCATTTATAATTGTATTAATTTTGAATGCATATCTTTTGCTTCATAACATAAGTTAAAAAAAAAAAACAAAAAACAAAAAACAAAAACCTCAAGCAACATATATTAATCCAGTAAAGACGAAATATAACTGGGCGCAGAAGAATTCCACACTCTAAGGATAAAAGAATACCCCATCGCTCGTACATGCACATGAGCTATATGATTCGCTGAACTCTTGACATAGCGAACCACAACGTTCCCGATATCAAAAGCAAGTGAATGCCACTTCTTAACAACAAGTCTAACATAAGATAAATATTAACATAAATTAAGAATTAAAACTAGTACATGAATTTAGACAACCTGCTTAATCATTGCGTTCTTTGATATATTTGTGCATTTTATTATTGTGCAGATCTTAACATTGTTGGTGCAAATTTACATCACTATTTTTATGCGGCTCACTGACCGCACGAAAAGACACAGGCGCATTTGAACTTTATATATATATATATATATATATATATATATATATATATATATATATATATATATATATATATATATATATATATATATATATATATATATATATATATAGAATTAGGTTCTGGTGCGGTTAGAGTGCCTGGGTGCAGTTGTGCAGTTTAATCTGGATCATTCATCTCGCTTAAATCAACGTCCATAATTGTCAAAATTTTTATTAAAAAAAAACGCGGTGGCAATTTTATAATTTTTGCATGTAGGTCAAAATTATGGTGAGCGGATCTGTGATTAATGTGCGTGGGGTTTGTGCTTAATGTGCGTGAGGTTGTGCTTAATGTGTGTGGGGTTTGTACTTAATGTGCGTGAGGTTGTGCAGACGCTATTATTTGTGTAGACGCTACTCATTTGTGTAGACGCTATCATTTGTGTAGACGCTGTGTAGGCGCTATCTTCTTCCCGACACGCGTTTTTTTTTAATTTTTATTGATTTGAGCCGTTGATCTAAATTTGATCAACAGCTCAGATCTAACCGCACAACCGCACGGGAAGCTATACCCGCACCAGAACCCTTCCCTATATATATATATATATATATATATATATATATATATATATATATATATATATATATCATGAATTGAAAATGGGAATGGTGACTTTTATTCACTATATGCGGAAAGCTATATACTAAGATGCGTTACATATTTAATTACTCTTAGGGTCACATTTGTATGACATCGTCTCACAGATTCTTATTCGTAGATGAGTCGAGCCAATTTAGAAATATAATGTTTATATTTAAAAATGTAATACTAATCAGAAATAAAGTGTTTATATTATTAATAAGGGAAAGTGTAATGCTTAAAAAAACATAACAATTTTTACATTTTATGTAAGTATTACACTTTTCATCAAAAATATTATACTTTCTATAATAACTAATGTTGACAAGTGTTTGTTACTTATAAGAGAAAATGTAACACTTATGAAGAAAAAATTAATACTTTTAAACCAAAATGTAAAAGTATTCCATTTTTATTCAAAAATATTACACTTTCAAATACAAGTTATAAAAACTTTATTCTTCATTAATATTATATTTTTAAGTATAAATATTAAATTTTCATCTTGACCCAACCTATTTTACAAACAAAGATATGTGAAATGATCTCACATAAACTTTTGCTTACTCTTTTTATAAAAAGTATTTTCAATATTTGATCTAATATATTTAGGGTGTGTTTGGTTGGTGAGTTTTGCCCATAGGAATGGGTATGAAAGTGATTGTTGTTGTTTGGTTGATAGGTTTTTAGAACACTACTATGGGTTTCGAATACCCCATCAATTGAAAAACTCATACCCAAATACAATAAGGGTTTCATTCCCTTATTTATTTTCAAGCACTACTATTACTAATCATTTCCATTCCACCCTACTACCAAACATGTTAAATATTTTCACCAAAACCCATTACCATTACCAAGTATTTGATACTCATTCCGATTCCGATTCCTATGTGCGAACCAAACACACCCTTAGACTCTGTCAAGCACTTTGTGCTCAAATGACACCTCTTGATTTTCTATATTTAGACTTGTTAATAAACACATTTTATAGTAAAATTTATTGATTTTCGTTTTGTTTATACATTTAACAGAAATAAAAAAGAAAAAAAATAAAATTATGATATCCTAAGGACCTAAACATAGAGTTAGAGATGGGTGTGACACCGATCCGAATGTGTTTAGGCAACTGTTTGGCAAATCCGACATTCCTACGTGTGTAGACATCCGTGATCCACGTGTCGAAACGAGAAGTAAGTTGAAAGAAGGAAGTAACGACAAAAGAGGGATTGAATGAAGTTCCAAAAGGAGGGGCATTTCGGGAAGCGGAATTTGTTAGTTAGTGAGTTGTGGGAAAGGTGTTGAAATTTGTCAGGATGTGGCGGATTCACCTGGGGTAGAATGGTCCAAAAGTTGAGCCGTTCATGGCTACGCAACACGTGTTGGAGACGTTTTGGATGCGCTCCACGTGGCGTTAAGCTGGCCCAGTAAACGAACCAAGCGTGAACGCACGTGAATCCGGACCCATTCCTATTTTGTTGTATCTATGCATTTTGCTCTTGCCAGCTAGCCGCCTATCGTTCTATTTTGTACCTCCCACACAAGACTCATTTTTCAATCAAATCTTCTCACCGATTTTTATCTATAAGACGAATTGAATTTGTTGGTTTCTAGATTTTTGAAAAGTTTATCGGGAATCTAACACAATCGAAAAAGTTGATGAATCACAGAAGAAATATGAAGAAATTAACAAGTTGATTTGCCAGAAAATAGTGTACAGTATATTAGGAAGAGTGTGTTTTTACCATGTCTTTGAAGGGCTATTTATAGGCGTTCGAGCTTGAGTGAGGGTCAAACTTTAAGAAATACATTTATGGCTTTCATTATAGCATATGAGTGCCTCTTAATGCGGTTAACGTTGCTCTTCCGTTATCTTCCTTGGAACGGTATGCTACTTCATTATTTATGGAAGGCATTGAATAGTTCCCAACGGTCTTTTGAGCATCTTGCTTATAGATTCCTCTATTGCCGACTCCTTGTACTACTCGGTCTCGATCACCCTCTTTGTCGAGTCATTGAGTCAGCCGGTCCATTTATGAAAGGCCTTCTTCCTATTTTCGCTGGTGACTTCTACTACTGGCCCAATTATTGGCCCGGACCATTTTGGTCCCCATCCGATCTTCTAGGCCCATGGCCCATTCTAGGCTCATATTCCAAAAGGATTAAAATTGAAAGGTCACACTTATTTGAGACACCGAAATTCTTAACCATAAAACGGTCGAACCAATTGAGTTAATATGCAAATGTAATATTTATATTAATAAATGCAATACTAATTATGAATAATATTTATTCCTAACCAGTAATACTAATTTATATTTAAATACCATCTAAATTGTTATACTTGAAAAAGTTTCCAAAACGCATCTGGGCTTGAGAGAAATATAAATGACACTTATTATTTTTTTAGAATTACCGACTCTGTTACTATGTAGTATATGTTCATTCATATTTTGTTCATTTATAGAAACACAAAAAGAGTCAGTATCTCACTGTGGTTCGAACTTTTGATCTCTCATTTGGGAGAAGCACAGCTATGCCTCTTGACTACAAGATCTTTGACAAATGACACTTTTTATTAGTTGACCCGTTAATTGCTAAATTATTGTGGGGTATTATTATTATTGTTGTTGTTGTTGTTGTTATAAGAAACTAAGGATTATCTCCAGTATGTCTATATCTTCTTTTTTTTTTTTTTTTTTTTTTGGGTGATAAGGAAACCTATAGCTATTTGAGGTTGTACGCTGGGTAAGTCCCATATTGTGATTCTAGTCAATAAAAAATCACAAAAAGACAAATCAACTTAAATTGTTCATAATTGACTAATTCAAATTAAGATGACCAATATATCACTTTTATTAAGAATCGAACTTATAATTTTGTAATTGCGCAATATATCTTTTTCTGATATCTCTAGATTGGAGGTGATATAAACTTTATAATGTAACTTCGTGACTTGAGTCGTTGACTTGGCATCGTTTTTGCATGTATAAATTCATTGTTGTAAAGCTTGGTAGTGCATTTATTTTGAATAAATATAAAAATGTAAAATATACTTAATTAGACATGTATAAATTTTAATACATTCTGCATAGTAAACTTATAAAGTCTCTATTATTTTAATTGCTCAAATTCAACCTTGGATGTCTTGATCAAAATGAATGTGATTGAAGCGTTATGTCATCACAGCATAACATTTAATAATTACCAGCTAGGCAAAGATAATGTTGAAAAGATAAATAGTGTACGCAACGTATAGAAGAGATAGCGATCGGATTGACATTATATTGTGTGAAGAATTTTAACGTTTGGTGCTACATTATTGGTGTCATCTTAATCCCATCCGTTATTTTCCATCGGTCCCTCCTCGTCGCGGTCAGCGGAAAACAACATAGCACAAATTGACCGAAGGCGACTTAATAAGCAAGTAGATATATGTGGTCATGCATTATTATTGCATTGTATTGTATTGCCATTTTCATTCTTTCCAAAATGTTGAACCCCCAACTCTAAGGGCCTCCACACCCCGGTCCGACAGAACATTTGAGAAGATATAAATCATGGTAACTCAACTGAACATAAACTACAGAAGCTAGACCTTTGCTTACTGCGCACAAGGAGTCCCTCTCACTTTGATAGGTTGCTCCCACACTGTCGCTGGTGAAACTCGATTCCTAGTCATTCTTTTCAACTTTCAACACTCTGACCAGTTGAGCTGCCCATACGGACTATATTGCCATTTTCATATTTCACTGGCTGCCACGATCGGCTACGAGTATAGAAACAAACAAATTCCAAATGCGATTAAAGAAGAAGAGAAAGCAAGTATTTCGAGAAATAACAAAAAGAAAAGTTCAACAAGTAACAGAGACCCGCAATTCTAGTCCTCAACATTGGAGAAGTCTACGTTATCATTTAGTAGAAGTAAAAGTTATTAGGCACGGTAACGGTCCCATGAAAACAAAAACTTCTGAACTCTAGAAGGGATATTATCAATTGTTATACAGTGGATCATGGACTACACAATACTATGTCGATCATAGTCGTTAAATGAAATTATTGTAAACTTAAAATCATACTTTAGTGTTGTTGTATTGAAATTAATGTGTTAAAAATGAAACTAAAAAACAAAAACTTATTCAATAATGTATATTGTCAAATGAAACTGTAGTATAATTAAAATGATACTTTAGTGTTGCTATAATTAAACTAGCGTGTGGAAAATGAAACTAAAATTCAGAGTCATACAATAACATATATTGTCAAATAAACTTAAAGTGTAATTAAAATAATACTTTAGTGTTGCTATAATTAAACTAGTGTGTGGAAAATGAAACTAAAATCCAGAGTCACACAATAATATATATTATCAAATGAACTTACAGTGTAATTAAAATAATACGTCAACATTACTATAAAAAAACTAGCGTGTATGAAAAATAAAACTAAAAATAGAGCTCATGCAATAATATATATTGTCAAATAAAAATATAGTATAATTAAAATGATACTTTGATATTAATATAATGAAACTAGTGTATGTAAAAAATAAAAATAAAATGAGTGTAATTACAATGATACCTACTTCATAGTTCATATATGGACCACAGTAAAATTTGCCGGATATTATTTGTCCAATCTGTGTAACCAAACAAGGCCTTAGAAATTTATAGCAGCCCAGTTAAATCAAAATCAATGGGCTTATACGTTCAATGAATAATGAGTGCTTTTAAAGCCCAATCACTTAAGCCCATTAAGAGCAAGTATAACATTGCAGACGGAAGCTCTGCAAAACCCTACTTTTATAACTGCCAAACTCTTCATTTTTTTCTTCACCCAACCCTAGCAATTCTTCGACGCAAAAATGCCGCCGAAGTTCGATCCCACTCAGGTCGTTGAGGTGTTCGTGAGAGTCACCGGCGGCGAGGTCGGAGCCGCGAGTTCTCTCGCTCCGAAGATCGGTCCGCTCGGTCTCTCCCCCAAGAAGATTGGTGAGGACATTGCCAAGGAAACCGCCAAGGATTGGAAGGGCCTCCGCGTCACCGTCAAGCTCACCGTTCAGAACCGTCAGGCCAAGGTGGCGGTCGTCCCCTCCGCCGCCGCCCTTGTCATCAAGGCCCTCAAGGAGCCGGAGCGTGACCGGAAGAAGACGAAGAACATCAAACACAACGGCAACATTTCCTTGGATGACGTCATCGAGATTGCTAAGATCATGAGCCCTCGCTCCATGGCCAAGGACCTGACCGGCACCGTGAAGGAGATCCTAGGGACCTGCGTATCGGTTGGATGCACCGTCGACGGCAAGGACCCGAAGGATTTGCAACAGGAAATTGCTGATGGAGACGTTGAGATCCCTCAGGACTGAGTGAAGAAGAAGTAGGAAGCTTGAGAGGTCAAGCCCTAATTTTTCATGATATACTAGAAACCTTTTTTTTAAAGTTAAATTTTGTGATTTCATTATCGAGGATTGTTTTGATTTTTGTTATCAAAACGCTTAATTTTGATTCATAATATGATCTGGTTGATGCTTATAGAAATTGTGCTTTTCATTATACATCGTATTCAACAAGCTCCATATCTTAACTTTAATTCTGTGTTCAATGAAAATGTGCCTTGCTTGTGCTGCATTGAATTGAAATGGCAGTATTGATCAGGATGATTCCCAATTAGTCCATCTGATAAATAATCCAAATTGAGTTTTAGTCAGCTTTACTTTTTGCTTATATTCTTCCTGTGTTCAAAACAATGTTGTAAAAATCCGCCTAGGTGTTAGTCGCCTTTAGGCCGGGCCTATTTCAGCCCTAGACGGTTTTTAGGCGCGAGTTGGGTGCCTAACTCTGCCTAGTTGGCGCTCAACTAGGCTGAGTCGGTACCAAACTCGGCGGAGTGGATGATATATTTGACCAACGAGTAGCACTTTCTGCAACATTGGTTCAAAATGTATGAACTAATGTGATTTTTAGATACAGTTGAAGAAGCAATGTGTTGCAGTACTTAATCTTTTTAGGTTTCTGCAGAGTGTTCTGTTAGGTTTCCAAGTATGTATCCACTTCATGCCATGCATATCTATTGGTGTGCTTCTTTTGTTGAGATTTATTATGAACACACAAAATATGAGATTTGTTAAAATTTAATGGCTGACTTTGTTTTTGGACCATGGTCCACACAGCTGTGTGAACCATAACAACCGAACGAACAGTACCAAGGTTGTGAATATAAAGGGTCGAAGCTATACTATGGTCCACAGAGCTTTGTGAACTATGGTCTGAAAACGGCGCCTTTAATTCTAAAGATCCGTAATGTTTTGCATATTGTGTTTATATTAAAATAAAACTGTCTCACATATTGAGTGTATATTGTCAAATAAAATTGTAGTTGAATAGAAATGAGACTGTAATTGTGTTGTAATGAAATTCTGTTGTATATAAACTGAAACTGAATATTAGTTTACATATTTGAGTTTATATTGTTCAATGAAACTGTAATTATATTGAAATGATATTGTAGTTGTGTTGTAATGAAACTAATGAAACTGAATAATAGTTTCACAACATATTTGAGTGTATATTATCTAATGAAATTGTAGTTATATCGAAATGATACTGTAGTTGTGTTGTAATGAAATTACAGTATATATAAAATGAAGCTGAATAGTAATTTCACATATTTGGGTGTATATTATCCAATGAAACAATAGTTGAATTAGAATTATATTTGGGTGTATATTATCCAATGAAATAATAGTTGAATTAGAATTATATTTGGGTGTATGTTATCCAATGAAATATATAATTTAATGGTGTTATAATAAAATTACAGTATGTATAAATTGAAATTTAATAACACGTAAAATGAGTATCTTTTTTTTCCTTTTTTTTTTTTTTTTTAATAAAGAAATGACACCGTTTTCGACCATGGTATAATTTGCCACGAAGTTGTCCTTAGTTGAAATCTGGGCCGGGCCAGCCCTGGTAATTATATATAGACATACACTGGTTATTAAACAAAATTGTGGGTTTTGTGTTCTGGCCGTAAATGGTTTGAACAGTTTGTTGTTTGAGTTTCCAAAACTAAAACAAATTAAGAGGAAATGAATGAGGACGACCATTATATTGAGAGCCATGGTTCACCTAGACAATGGTCCAAAATGACATTGTTTCAACGTAGGTTAACAACCATTCAATTTCTTTGTTACACACTATATTCGTTATTCCAAAAGGCTGAACCCCAACCTTAAGGATCTTCCACACCCCGGCCCGACAGAGCATTTGGGAGGAGTATTCGTGATGCTCCATATTGTCATTACTTGATTTTTAAATTTTAATGTTGCCAAGCTAAAGGCAACCGTAAACTATGTTTTTAATCAATTCTTCCATATAATTTCATATTCTTAAAAAGTAAGAATTGATCCCAATCATCCATTAGGGTTCATTAATGGTTGAAGACACGGGCTAACAACATTTGATTTCTCAAAATGGAGGGTGCGGATGAGTTAGGTGTGTTCAAATGAGATCTATCTCTGTAAAAAGTCAGGATTGGTTTCAGCCACTTCATCTTGATTTATCAATGATTGAAGATTTTAGTAAAAAAATTAATAATAATAAAGCTAACCATGCTATTTTTCCATCACTTTTCAACAACCCACAACTATTGATCTATATAAATGAAGGATTGTTGGACCGACTAGTCTGATCGACTTGTCATAACTAAGATCAAGTTTTGTTTCGCTCAAAACTACATTGTGAAACAATTTTTTTTTTTTCCTTAAGGAAAAGTCAGGCCTGTTTATCTTCTCCATAAATGGCTGCATTTCAATGCATTTTCTTCGGCTTAGAGACGCTTAGTGCCTAGCCGGCCACCTAAACTGATTTTTACCATACTAGTCATAGTTTATTCACTATTGTGCCATGCTGTATCATTGAATGACCCATCCTGCAAAGCTGTTAAAAGAGGCAATTCACATATGATCTTGGTCTAGAAATCAATGTACTTGGACCACATAGTTAACAATATGGGCTCTGTTTTAGGGTTTGAAAAAGGAACATTGAACTTGATGGGCTCAGCTACTGAAAATGGATAATCTGCAGTTACAATCTCTCCTCTAGTCTGGCAGCTTCATTTTCTGGAATGATTTGGCACTTTGTTAGGTAAGCTGTCAAGTCCTTCCCCTACCCCCAAGTAGCCATATCATGGATACCCTCAACCACAAGTATACAATTGAATGATTGAGATAGGTTTTGTGGATCTCTCATTCTCACCTAAATTATACAGCAGCTCAGACATTCCAAATTACTCCAAATATTATATTAAATCTCAAATTTAATCCGACTATAAATATTATCACTATAAGTACATACATGACTTTTATTTTTCCATTATTGTTGGTCCTTTCAATAATAAATCTAGTGAAATCATATTGAGTTTTGCCGCCATTGACCTAGTGGCACAAAGTGGTTCTCCCATATTGAAGGTCATGGGTTCGTCCCTTAGTGAGGGCGATATTGACTCTTTGTGCTTCAGTAGGTTGAGAAAGTAGTTATGAAGAGATACTGCATTGTAAGAGAGCCAGAAATACTCAAAAGAAAAAAAAAATAGATAATTGGATCATGACACTTGTATCTTAAAGCTACCGGTTCGATTCTTGTCACACTAGCTCAATTGAATCTATAATAATAATATTAGGTGAATTGAAAGGTGAATAACACCATTAAAATTAAAATTATTGAATGGATGGGATTGAAAGAATAAAATGAGGAATGTAGACAGGTGGTCATATAATAACTGGATGGTCGGCTGCCCAGTAATGCTGCTCTTGCTTTGCTCACATATATATGGTCGGTTTGTTCAATATATAAATGTTCCTTTCGTGTATTACATTTTCCTATGTACAAACAAGTATTATTTTTTACTATATTTAAGACATAGGTGACAAGTATTTGTACTATATATAATTTATATTGTTAGTTTAATCGCAATAAATACGACCATATAATCTGCATTGGCTTACCAAGTTGACTAGACATTCAAAAACCAAACACTCAAGATTCACAACTTTGATTCACTAGAAATATCGACTTCCATATTCTAAGTGCATAAATTTAAAATTTAAGGTGCATTATTTTCTAGCTTAAGGTGCATCAGTTTGAAACTTAAGGTGCAAAAGTTCGAAGACTTAAGGTGGATCAATTCAAGTCTTAAGGTGCATAAGTTCGAAGGCTTAGAGTGCATAAGTTCGAGACTTAAGGTGCATTAGTTCAGAGGTTAAAGGGCATAATTGTTTCATTTTGAGTCGTGCATCCAATTGTCAGAAAGAGTGTTTTTTTTTTTTAAAAAAAAAAATTCTAAAAAAAATTCTTTCATGAGTCGTTTAACGGCTCAGATCTCACCTTATTTTTTCACCTGGAACACCCTTCGCACGTGAAACATCCCATATATATATATGAATTCACTGCTGTAATTATGTTTCGTTGTACAGCTCGTATTAAGGGAATGCACTGCTGTAATTATGGGGATGCACCACAGCTAACATTACGTTGCACGGCTAACAATGTAATACGTATGGCCACTATTGTTTCATAGTGCACCGCATTTTTTCTCACGTTGCACTGATGTGAAACAGTGTGCACAGCATCAATTACGTGGATGCACATGGCTGTGGGGAAAATACTCTTCGTACTCCGCTAGAAGTTTCTATAGTTGCGTAGAAGAAGCCAAGGTTGGAAGTCTTTTTGGTTTAGAAAACCTCTAAAATCATCTTCAATAGTGGGAATTTTGATGTAATTTTTGAGGAGTTTTTGTAAGTGTGATTAGAAAAGAGAAAATGGGAGTAGAAAAAAAATAAAATCAAATCAAAAGCTGAAAAAAAAAAATTAGATTGATTTATGCGCCCAGGCACGCGCCAACTTGGGCGCGAGAGTTACGCCTCACGCACGCTCTCCCTTCAAATTGTAGGACCCACATTCTCAAAATTTGGGATATTTGCAGGAGCAATCCATTTCATCTCTCTTCTCCCTCTCTCTCTTCCACCTCACTCTTCCTTCCTAAAAAACTGATCCAAAATTCCTCCAGAATCCCCTTTTGGGATGCTATAAGGTGGTAAAAAATATTAAAAATTTTACTAATCTCCATATATTTTTTTGGACATTCAGAAAAAGTTATTGATAATCAACAATTTCTAACCATAAATGACCCAATCATCATCAACTTATTAGTCTTGAATAAGTAAAGATCAATCTAGTAAATTGCTTGAGATCAACTTTAATATTAGTAAGATCAACATTTTATTCCATGCGCAGCACAATCAAGTTAGTGCTTCATTATATTAATTATTATTTCCAAGTTCATTTATGCTATTGTAATGCTCATGTGTTGGGTGGAATGCTTCAGCCATATACCTAAATCTTTTCTCAAAAGGTTAAATCTCCAATTCTAAGGGCTTCTCACACCCTGACTCGACAGAACATTTGAAAAGCTGTAAATCACGGTGATTCAATGGTCTCAATAGACAAAGCTAAATGTCAGTGCACACAACAAATTT